AACATCTACCAGACTACACAGCGCAACAACCCAGAAGAGAGAAATCTTCATATAAAGACTTGTGTCCTATTATGTATCTTGTCAGCATTCCCTGGGACACACTTGGAAACTTCAGTTGTCCAGACTGATTGGGCTTGTGCTCCGTCTGTGCGCCCCCGTAAAAGTTGGAGGTTTCAGGAACTATAGCCCAAGCAGCGAGAACACCCGAGGCTATCTGCAGTAGTCTCTGTAACATGAGTTCCGAATATGAATGGCCTGAACGCAGCTTAGGATAGATAGCTTTTAGTTTGGCCAAGATTCGAAACGTGTACCCCCCGACCTGCATTGTCACACTAACCTCCACACTATACTTTGATACGAGTAGACGCTGGCTGTTAGATGAAGAGAAGCGGATAATTTAAAATGGAATCCTCGTTGAGTGAAATGAAACTGGAGCAGATTTCTCTGAGAGGTCGCATGTTTTCCTTTGACAATCATTATTTAACCATCGGTGCAAACTCATCTACCACCGCCCCATGAGGTTTGCAACAGCCCTGACCAAACGGCACATTACCCCGAGTAAAGGCAGTTCAGTTTGTGTTTCTTGCATTGCTGCAGTTGTCAAATTACAAGAGGATTAAAAGGAAAATTAACCAGTTTAAGAGGAAACTGCTGTTAATTAGTGATAGACAACCGATGTCGGACGTAAACATCCTTGATAGTTAGGTGCGGAATGTTTTTCTGAGTGTCAGAGTAACCAGCAAACATGTGTTCTTGGTGCGACCACCTGGGTGGTAAAAGAACTCCACGTTGAGTGAGAAGAATAAGTTCCTTGTGTACTCGTAAAATTCTGTCCAGGGGGTCACAAGTTTATGTGGTTGGCTTGGCTGTTTTATTGCTGTGCTGGGTATGCAAATAACCTTTTTCGTATATAATTAGAATGCTTCTAACTCAATGGGCCAACACATGCCTCTTTGTGAAATAATCTGCAGCCTCCTGGCGTTCAGACGGGTTTGAAATTAGGTATCTGCCATGTAAAGTAAAGTAAAATATTGTCACTGGAGGAACAATGGACACTGTTTTCTCATATTTTTAAATACGTATAAAACAACACGCAAAATTAACACTTTATGGTATATTATAATTTCTAAATTTTAAACGATACCTGAGAATATTTGGAATAATATTAGAAATAACTTGTATAATGTCTACGTGGGTGGATGAATAGACACGTCTG